GCAAGAAAGAAACTTAACCATCACACCAAACCATTCAAAATAGTTCGAACACAAAGAATAATATGACAAAGATTTGTAGTGTGAAGTTTAGTTTCATTATTGTGATTATACTGCTAGTCGTGTCTCGTTCCGGTAAAATTTTTAGTTCTTCATTCTTTGTTTGTTTTGAATCTCTTTGAAGGTTAATATTTCAACGGAGAAGCCTTCTAAAACAATCGCATGTTAAAGTGTTCAAAAGTTTCAAACATAATGTTAAGTGTTTAAATATTATTGCAGTTGAAGTTGAAGCGATGCCACCACTGGTATTAAAGAGAAGCCTTTTAACACAAATTGCATGCAACACATCTGCTGATTGTGGAGATCATACTTGTTCATGTTCTGAAATCGGTTTATGCATCTGTTTTAAATTCGCAACCAAAGAATTGAAGCTCAACGATATGCAATTTGAAAACTTCAAAGAAGAGGATGCCAAGAATTAAGTGTTAATAAGAATACGACTATGTTTTGATTCATAGTGTGTGGGACTAAATTCTATCTATGGAATACAAGAATAATGATTAATTAGCTATATATGATATAGGTATATTTTGTTATCTTTTTGAAACGTTTTTTTTTTTTGAACACCAACACATTCTAGTTACATTTCTTTTAAATAAATTTCTCCATACATTCTAGTTATATTAGGCATGTTGTGGCAACCTTTGTTTTAATAGAAAATTAGAGTCATTATAGGTGGTATCAGAGCGATTGCTCTCACAATAAGATGTGATTCAAGAACAAACCAAAAAGGAAGCTAGTGGGTATGTGACACCTGAGTAAAGGAGGAGTACATGAATGAACCGAGACTACATTATAGTGAGAGTGATCTTGAAGATTGGATGACTAAAAAAGTCTAAAAAGAAATAGAAGTTGCAACCTATACTAATAAAAATTTAATGAAAATAAGTTTGCACAAAGAAGGAAATTTAGTACTTTATTACGTGAAGAATGACTAATTCATAGACAGTGCAATGCTTAACAAAGATAAAAATAAAATCCTAATAGAAAGCAGAACATCAAGCCAAAACAAAGAATTTGGCCTAAGATCATATCTATAATCATATTGGCATAAATACATATAAGTTTGTCTGTGTTTTAAATAATGTTTTTTTCGACAATTTGCTACGTCATATAATACTTAGCTTTTCTTTTCATTGTTTAACAATTTTATTGGCTCCATATTTCAAAAAAATGTATTTTTCTTTTCAACAAGCAGAAGATATTTGCTTGATAAGAGTTAATTAGAATCTTTATTTCTAATACAACATAAAGAGGTATAAAGTTGAACTTTTAAGACCAAGTTGATGAATAACGTAGGCTTCCGTTTAGTTATGAAAATATATTTGTGATCCCGAGAACTATTTCTCACATAGATTCCATCATCCGGCCTTATCGACCAAACTTCTTCGGGCTCACTTGGGTTGTTGGGTTATTTCTGTCTTGAGTTGGAGTTTTGACCCGAGCCAAAATCAAACCCGTTTGCCCTCGGGTTCCTTTATCCTTACCCAAAAGTTTATAGTTGATCCTCAGTAGGTTAGGTAGAAGATTCGAGTCTACAATCATGTGTTAGATGAGAAAGAAAAATGTTGAAACCCTTATTGACGATCTAAGTTCAAAACGTCAATTACTCTCGGTGTGGAACTTGGAAATAGAAATGAATTGGTTCGAGGGAATTTGGGGTGAGAGAGAGACTAAACTTGGAGAAATAGTATATGGGCACTCTTCCTTCAAGATCTGAGCAGCTGGCCGTGTTTTCATTTTTCACCATGAGTCTTGATTGGATCGGTTTGGGTTGTAGGGGTTGTTGGGTTGTCGAGTTCAATGTACACCCCTAGTCCATAACTAATATAATATTAATGAACTAGATTTTGGAGGAGGTTCTTCAACTAGTTTGTAATAGTCTAAAAAAATTCTAAAGGGAGTAACGTGAACAATTAATGTTCTATACAATGAGCGTTACACAAAACTCTCAGAGTATTAGTCTTGGATGAACAAAAATGTTTTTCTTGGAAATTAAATGTTATAGAATGTGGCTTAGTGAACCATTTTAAACGAAAAATATTTTGTAGTTTGTCTAAGCCACTAATAAGATCGTGCAAAAGGTTAGAATGTGGATGTGTACAACCAGGAGTAGACCGAAAAAAAAATATCATAAACTTTAAAAATAAAATTAATATCCTTTAACATTTATGAAAAAGATTAAAAAATATATTATCGTCAATATATGGACCGAAACTATCTACCTACCTCGTAAATCTTCAAGCAAATTCACATCCAATTGTCGAGATTTAAAAAAAAAAAAACTACCAAATCCATTACTATGGATGTACATTAAAAAAAAAATTATGGTTCCATTGAATAATTTGTTTCACCCAACACCCACACTTACTTATATCATGTCTTTGGACTTATAATGAAATGCTTGAATTTGTTGCATAGGTTTTAGTGGCTATTTTTATGTTTTAGTTATCAAGTCATTGCTATGTCTTTTGTACCCTTCTTTGTTTTGACATGATATTCTGATGTAGTTGTAATTTTTTTTTTTTTTTTGTTAATCAGATTTTATTTTTCTCTGTTAATCATTCTACTCACTATAAATATAGTCATTTTGAGCTTAATAAAGAACTGAATTTTCTTCCTTCTCATATTTCATTAAATTTATCATTTGGTATTAGAGTCTTGTCTCTTTCAGCTGCAGCTAAAAATGACTATTAAGGATGACCACTGAAGTCAGTTTTGTTCAACCAACCATACCAAAATTTGTCGGTCACTACCCTCACAGTTTTGTTCAACCAGCAATACCAAAATTTGTTGGTCACTACGATCATTGGAGCATGTTAACAAAGAACTTTCTTCGCTCTAAAGAATATTGGTAAGTAAGTGAGTTTGGGACTTCTGCAGTAGCAGATGAGGCTGATTACTCAGATGAACAGAAGAAGGAGATAGCAAGTCAGAAATTGAATGACATAAAGAGCTGAAAACTACCTTTCCAAGCCATCGATCGCTCAATTCTAAAGACTATTTTAGATATCCTAAATATATATCCTCCTTCCTCGGGTTTAGCTACAAAACATTACTGAATTCAACAACAGGAATACAAGAGTAACCCTAGCTTGCTACATGATGGAAGGATAGAAAATAAAGTAGCTACTAAGAACTATGATACAGCAAGGTTCCCTTTGTATTGACACATAACTGATAGAAATCACTCACATTCACTCCTGCCGCATTCTCTTCTGTCTCTGCTTTGGTACCAATTGTCACAGGCTCCCATCTTCTGTAGTCCCAGAGTGTCGCTCCTTTTTAGGGCAACCTCCCTTAAATACCACCTCCACCATCTCAATTTTAGAGTTGCAGCTATGTTAGGTATGATACCATGTTCGTGTTAAGGCTATTAAACATTCATTAATCAAGTAGGATAATAATGAAATTAATATCCTCTATACATTGTTTCTTATATGGAAGCAATGTTATGAAAAGAATGAAAGTGTAATGTGCATCATAACCATGTATTATATTTTGAACCACAGGACATCATACATGGTGTATGTCACAAGCATGGGATGCTTTTCCAATATATTTTATACGGACATGTATACTATGATATGATACGAGTTCCTTTTTTCTTTTTTATGTTGGTTTTCGCCAACATGAGTGTGCACTAGCCCATAGTCAAGCCTGTCTTTTGAGTTAATGTGCACGTAAAGAGAAAGTACTGCTCATCAACCCTACTTGAAAGAGAAAGTAAAACTCGAGGAATAGTTATGAAAAGATAGGCCCCAGCATGAGCCTGATTATGTTTTGACTCCAATTCTATTTTTCTAATTAAAGGTAAGACACTCATGTATGTATGATGGTGTTGCTACGAAAGCCATGAAAATAAAATCAATAGTTTTTTTTTTTTTTTTCATTTAAGTTTTAGTCCTACGCTATCTCTTTGATGCTACTTTTTCAATTTTAGATGAGCATTGTGAATGTTTAAGTCTATGATAATGCTTAAAGTAATTTTTTTAAATGGTTTTCAGCATTTAGTAGTCCAGTCATTTACGTCATGGTAACCTTATTTTTAAATGAAAAAGTAGGATCATAACAATAGAAAATGATGCGTAAGAAATGGCTATAGGGTACGTGTCATTCATGCATCATTCAAGTCATCAACCATAAGTCCACTTACTTCTCAATATCCTTTGAGCCAGCGTAATATTGCCTCTCAAAACCCAACTTTATTTATGGAGTTCCACAACATTATATTTAGAATATAATCTTGAAATTGATTTACTCAATTGTATTAATAACCAAAGTTGGCTCCAATTATTTTAAATTAGCCAAAGGCTACAAAAACCTCAAACACTCCCAATTACGTCAAAAATGACCATTGAAGGGTCCAAAATGGGAGGAAGAGGTTCAAAATAGTAACGAAGTCTTAAACAGGTAAATTCGAGTTGAATGCATCAAGCCAAGGCTGAGGTGTAGGCCGCATTTCTAGATTGAGTGGGGTATGCAGGTCAGTTGTGGGTTGTAGTTAGGGGCATGTGAGATGGCGTTGCCGACATCAGGTTTGACTTCCAGCTTGGGTCGGTTCAGTCATAAACAGATCGACCTATGGAAGCTAAGGTTCAAGGTTAGGTTCAGATTTGAACCCTAAGGTTTGGACCCAAGGCTAATGTCTACTAGATTTGTTCTTTGATCTACCTCCTATAGATTTTATTTTAAAATTTTAAAATTTTTTATTTTAGGAAAACATATTAAATATATTTTAATAAAAATATGGTGTGATGTCAAATTTTAAATTATTTTTTAATAAAAAAAATATAATATCACGTCAATAATAACAGAAAAAAAGTAATGATAAATAACAAAATACAAAAAACGGTTACTTGTCCTAAGAAATTATTAGAAAATGAACAAAACTAAAAAAAAATTATTTATTTATTTTAAGTTTGAATAATAAATCTATATTTTCCATATAGGCTTCTACAGTCTCCACGAAATTTTCTCTACGGACTAGGAAGACGGGTTTTTCCCGATGAACATAAACCCTAATCTTCTCCCTTCAATTAGCCGGAGCTGACCAGGTGTGTTCTCCGATCATCTTCTTCTTTTTCTACTGCTCTATTTTCCCCTAAAGCTTCGCTATCCATGTTCGCACATTTCATTCTTCCGCACAGAGCTTACTTTTCTGTTAAATCTGAATTTTGGGGTAAGAATTTGGATTTTCGAAACAGAAATGATAGTTTGAGTGATAATTCAAGAAAATCTCATGTGTATTTTCAACCGATTAGAGCTGGTGTGAAATGGAGGAAGGAGCTTCCGTTTGATAATGTAATACAGAGGGATAAGAAGCTGAAATTGGTTACTCGGATTAGGAAGATTCTAGTTCAACATCATGATAATGTTATGTCACTTAGGGGTTTGGGTAAATTCAGGAGAGATTTAGGTGTACAGGAAAAGACGAGGCTCATTGAGTTGTTGAAGATGTTCCCTGCAGTATTTGAGATTGTAGAAGAACGGGCGTTTTCTTTGAAATTCAAATTGACGGAAGAGGCTGAAAGGTTGTACTTCGAGGAGCTGAAGATCAGAAATGAAATGGAAGGTTTGTTGGTTACTAAGCTGAGGAAGTTACTGATGATGTCTGCTGATAAGCGAATATTGTTGGAGAAAATTGCACATTTGAGGACTGATTTTGGTCTTCCTTCCGAGTTTCGTGACACGATTTGCCATCGTTATCCTCAGTACTTTAGAGTTGTGGCAACCGAGAGCGGTCCAGCTCTCGAATTGACACACTGGGATCCTGAACTTGCTGTTTCTGTAGCAGAGTTAGCCGAGGAGGAGAACCGAGCTAGAGAATTAGAAGAGAAGAATTTGATTATTGACCGACCGTTGAAGTTTAATCGAGTGAAGCTACCTAAGGGGCTTAAGCTTTCGAAGAATGATATGAGGAAAATGAATGAGTTTAGGGACATTCCTTATATCTCTCCGTATTCTGATTTCTCAGGGTTTAAGGCAGGTACACCCCAGAAAGAGAAACATGCTTGTGGGGTTGTTCATGAGATTTTAAGCCTTACACTTGAGAAGAGAACCCTTGTTGATCATTTCACTCATTTCCGGGAGGAGTTTAGATTCTCCCAGCAGTTGAGGGGGATGCTAATAAGGCATCCCAATATGTTTTATGTCTCGTTGAAAGGGGATAAAAACTCGGTTTTCCTCAGAGAAGCATATCGCGATTCTCAGTTGATCGACAAAGATCGGTTGTTAATCGTAAAGGAGAAGTTTCGAGGTCTTGTGGCTGTTCCTCAATTCAAAGGCAGAGGAGCTCCCGAAAGTGACACGGATTGGCGAGAAACCAATCATGGAGATGATATGAGAGGTGAAGAATGGTCTGATGTCGACGATGACGATGATGAATTCGACAACGATGGTGAGGATGACTGGATTGATGAACAGATCAATAACTTGGAAATGGCTGATCAGAGGCTTCTTTCTCCTCCGGCATTACCTTATGGACTGCCCCAAGAAAGATGGTGAGAGGTATAAAGTTGTATATTTATGCATATTGTTTACTCAAATATATTATGTGCATATTGTTTACTCTTTGAATTTCAATTCGGTTTGTAAACATTAGGTAGGTTTCGATACGAGTTTGGATGCCATCGGAGATTAAATTTAAGCATTGCCTTTACATTGCTTACTGTTAACATATTGGATAAAAAATTTGGTTAAATCCTAAATTTAGTCCTTCAATCTTAGAATTGTGTTTTAATTAAATGTAATTATGGTCTGCATAGATAGAAAAATTGAAGTAAAGCTTGCATATCTATGATGCTGAGGACATAGAGACAATGGTGAAATGGGTTGAGCAACCTCATGGTGGATATATGGACCTCGACCACACAACCATATCCTTTCATGTATAAAGAGTTAAAAATAAGGTCTTTGTAATACTCGAGTTAGATAAGGATGTTCGAGAAAAGTAAAGAGACTTCGGGGAAGTTCAAGAGATTTAAGTATGGTTTAAGGGGTCCAAGAAAAGATATTTTTAATGATCTAGCAAGGTTTTAAAAGAAACTAAAGAGTAGTTTAATGTAAGGTTTTGTATATGAAACGCAAAAATAGAATCTCTAGGAATATAATATCTAGCAAAAAAGTCCCTGGAAAATCTTGAATTTGCAAAAAGAGGTCACTGACCAGAAAATCTATAGCATATATGGTTTTAGAATGAGTCAGCAGCAATGAAAATCCAACCATCAGAATGGGAGTCCATAAATTTCAAGTTCGGATTCAGACCAGTTCTTCACGAAACAAAACAAGGTCAGTACAAGCTTATTCTCTCTTAAACTTCAAGTTCTAATTCAGACCTACAATGTCTCAATTGGGTTATATGATGTTAGCTTTGGGTATAGGGTCTTATCGAGCTGTTTTATTTCATTTGATTACTCATACTTATTCAAAAGCTTTGTTGTTTTTAGGATCTGGGTCCATTATTCACTCAATGGAATCGATTGTTGGATATTCTCCAGATAAAAGTCAGAATATGGTTCTTACGGGGTTTAACAAAGCATATGCCAATTACAAAAAATGCTTTTTTATTAGGTACCCTTTGTTCTTGATGAAACAAGGTCAGTACAAGTTTATTCTCTCTTTTAAATAAGGAAGTATATAAATTAGAGTTGAATGAGATTTAAATCACACCATGTTGATCAAACCAATTTAAACCACGAACCAAACTGATTTAAATGTTGAACCAACCTACTACACTGTCATCTGTGCGTGCTTAGGATTTCCTTCTCTATTGGCTTCGTGTGGTGATTTAGTGATTCAGGTGCCAAAATTGCGCAGTGAAGGAAATATAATTGTAAAGCTACGATGGTAGTGGTCAGGATACGACGATGAGCATAATGTGTAGTAGTCAATTTAATATCAGCTAAGTCAAGGCTTAGAGACTCGAGAGAAAATCACTCCAGAACGGTGGTTCCAAGCTTGAACGGTCATGGATCTCGGCATGCGACCGAGGTTTTTGAGGAATTATGGCATAAACATATGCTTGTTAAATGTAGATTTCTTAAAATTGCACTACAAATATAGTTTTCTTAAATCCATACTGAAAGGTAAACTGTAAAAACATGTCTCAATAAGACAAACTAACAAGTCCATGAGTATTTGTACATTTTTCACTCAATTTCTTTTATAGAACATTTTGTTTCCAGGAGTATGCCTTCAAAAGATTGACCTTATTGGAATGCATATCAAATGTATATGGGAATTAAAATAGAGATACTGATGAAGTTCTTGTTCAAAATAAGTTCAATTCGTATGTAGAACTAAAAGATGGCATGAGAAATTGTAGCAAAAGCAAAAACAAAGTGATTGGAATTACCATCTCAAAGTTCATATTATATACACAACACCTCAAGTATCCATACACTCATCAAACCACCTCTAAACCGTAATACATATTTTACAAAGAAAACCAACAGAAAGGAGCAATGCTGAAACTATATATGATAACAAAATCAGAAGAGGATACTGGGTGAGTCTCCAATGAGATGCCAAATCTGCTGCAACCTACAAAAATCGATTGGTTCGACTATACCCGACACTGATGAATCGGTTTGACTTCATCCTGCAGCACGGCCATCCTCAAGGACACATCAGCCAGTGATTTGAGGTTGCAGTTTATAAGGGAATGGACAAAGAAACATGTCTCCTCTTTCGTGTTTCCCTCGGGTACATCCACGACAAATGACTCGATCACCAGTGTCCCCGGTCTTCCATCGATAACTTCGGAATGGACGGTGATAATCGAAGAGTAGTTCTGCAGAGAATTTAGGGCCTCAAAGAAATGAATTTCAAATCTTCTCAAATTGTTGTATAACTTGCATTAGTATGGAAAATATGTGACAATCAAGTTCCTATCATAACATCAACATTTCTAACATCTTTTCTTGAAAGAGTTTGCAATCTTGAGTTTGAAGCCTATACTGTCAAATCATTTTCCCTCTACCAAATTATCGATCACTCTTGTAAGTAATTGTAACAGTCCAATCTCATCGTTAGCAGATATTGTCCTTTTTGGGTTTTCCCTTTCCGGCTTCCTCTTAAGGTTTTTGCTAGGGAGAGGTTTTCACTCTTATAAAAGGTGTTTCGTTCTCCTCTTCAATTGATGTGGGATCTCACAGTCCACCACTCTCCAGGGCACACCGCCTTGCGTCCACCCCCTTCAAGGCTTAGCCTCTTCACTGGGCACATCGCCCGATATCTGGCTCTAATACCATTTAAAACTGCTCAATTCCATCACTAGCAAATATTGTTCTCTCTGAGCTCTCCCTTTTGGGCTTCCTCTCAAAATGTTTAAAACACGTCTACGAGCGAGAGGTTTCCACACCCTTGAAAGGGTATTTCGTTCTCCTCCCCAACCGATATGAGATCTCATAGTAGTAGTGTAATATGGACAAGTTTGCAATATTTATAAAGGAAAATTATGAAGAGCAGGCACTATAAGGAGAAACCAAGAACAGAGGAGGGTGAAAAGCAATACCCTGAGTCTGTGATCACCACCAACAATCTTGACTCCAAGTATATGTTCTTCATCATCAAGCAGCTCCAATCTCTCAGTACTGGTAGTAGCTGGAAGCCCAGATTTGACATCAACTTCTCTAAGACTCCCTATTCCAAGGCCATCTCCCCTCACCACACACCGACTAACAAAAGGCTTGTACCTCTGTGGCCGATCGAACCTCCTAACCAACGACCATACCTAACAAATCAACACCAAAATTTCACAACCATACAAATACTAAAGGAGATTAACAGTGAAATTCATCCCAATATTTTCAGAGAGCGAATCGATTCCCCTCGATTTACGAAACAAATTAAGAGAAGTGTTCAATCTACGACCTAAATTACCACTCTACGAACAAGGATTCAAATAAAGTGAAGCAAATTGAAATTAAATGGAAAAGAGAGACGTACGAGGTGAACGGGAGCTTTAATGTGCTTCAAAACGGCGGAGGAGCACTGATTGTCGGTAGGATTGTGGCTGTGGTACCTCTGAATGTAGTGGGACTCCATGGATTTGGGTTGTCGTTGAAGAAACTGGAAGGCTGTGGAATGGGTTCGAACAGAGAAAAAGGTGCGCCACACATTAACGTGCTTGTGCTTTAAAACTTCTTCCTCCTATAGTGCCCTTCCGACAATTTCCCTTTTTTTTTTCTTTTAATTTTTTTCTTTTATTTTTGGTTAAAATTTTAAAATTACCTATTAGACGAATACGACTCTCAGGATGGTATGATATTGTCCCCTTTGAGTGGTGTGAAAGTGGCTTTGTTTTGGGCTTCTCCAAAAGGCTCCACACCAATAGAGTTAGTATTCCTCACTTATAAATTCATGATCATTCTCTAAATTAGTGTGGGACAAAATTGCGATGCTACATCATTTAAGGTCAAAACTACACAAGTTTTATTTTAATTTTTATTTAATTTTCATTTTTTGGATCAATTTTTTTTCTCATTTACAAAAAAAAAAAATAGAAATGAAAAAATGATATGATGGCAGTTGTATGTATATTATTTGGCATATTAGTTGGTGGGTTATAGTTATCCAATAATGATAAGACACGTCACAATCTGAATTACCTCTTATACACTCCACTTTGTGCCATGTGGATGGCCCGGTCACCAGCCAAGTGTACTGTAACCTGTAACACGGTTCTCCAATGAAAGCTACGAATCATATAAAATCTAAAATAAAAGAATTTAAAGCTGAAAAACCTAATGAATGATTTAATATCAACACTTTTTTATTTTTTTAATTCCGATTTTGTCATTTTTTATTTTATTTTATAGAATTAATGTATACATGGAAAGGAGATGCAAGGCTGCAAATATTAGTAATTTAAATAGCTTGAATGATTTTATTTATAATTCTAAAAAAAAATAAATAAATAGAAGTCACATATGCATTAATTTTTTCAAACTTTATATTTAACTAAATTTTCATAAATTTAAAATTTTAGAAATGTAATTAGTAAACTGAAAGTTCAATAATTTAAATGATAATTTCTATTCAGAATTGGATTGTAACCGAAAAAAAAAAAGCAAATATATTATTTATATTAAACAAATAAATTATTATAATTTATTGAGAAAAATATTTATAGTGGTTATTAACATTATTTTAAACTTATCGTACTAAAAAAAATGATTTTATGTATTAAGTTAGAAATTAGTTGAAATTACTCGTTACTTGTAACTTTTCTATTAATATTATTAATTATAATTTTCAACACGATTTGGTCGTACACCAACTTTTGCTTAGTTAGGCTCTAAATCACGTGATGGGAAGAGAAATATCATCTTTGCACCATTTATAAGGTCTAGATGTCAATTTTAGTCTCAATCATCGGCCAATAGTAAAGTTATTTTTTATTATTTCATTTTCCTCTCCAGTTTAGACTATTTATACGGTTATTTCATCATATTCTTTACAAAAGAAAAAAAGAAAAGAAAGACGAGATAGTTTGGTTTTTGTGATATTTATTATCTCATATTCGAATTGGATCGATTTTCAAAAATTTGAAACTTTAGACCAAACTCTCTCTTTTCCTTTTGCTTTTTGGAAAGTTATTTATTTATTCTTTTGAAAAAAAAAAAAAAACTTATTTGGATTTTAGTTCTTAAAATTAAGTCTATTTAGTTTCTTTGATTATTTACCTTTTAATAATGTCTTCAAAGTTCAATTGAAATTCTAAAAATTAAAGAGAGAAAAAAAACTTTGATATAAAAAACAATTGTAATAAATATTAAATTATTTTGGGGAGAATACATTCGAAATGGATAAGGACACAATTGAAAAGAAAAGAAGGAAATTGGATTCAACTTTTCGTTTTCTCTGGCTTTGTTCAATGTCTCTTACCGGTCGCTTTCTCATTTTTGAATTCATACTCTAATGAAAATGGTCATTAATTTTAAAAATATTACCAAAACTACGTTATTTATTTTTAAAACTAATCTTTTTGTAATGAGGCTGCTATTAGACGAACACGACTTTCCACAATGGTATGATATTGTCCACTTTAAGCATAATCTCTCATAGCTTTGGTTTGAGCTTTCCCAAAAGGCCTCGTAGCAATGGAGAGAGTTCTTTGATTATAAACCCATGATCATTCCTAGAGTAGTAGATATGGGAATTTCATGACTAAATATGTGTAATTTTTGAAACCCTCTAACCCCTTTGTTCATAGTCAAAAAGCTACCTATCTCCTCCCTCCTTTTTTATTTTGTTATTATTATTTGGGATGAAAATGTATTAGCGTACAATATATGCATTCTATAAAATGTCTCTTTCGGTTCTAAAGAGATTCGACATCTTTTTCAAAAAGAGAGAGGAGAAGAGTGTTGAAGTACGAGAATTGACAAATTTGAAGAATTATGGATTCCTCACCATCATTTGGTCAAGGATTGTGTAACTCTATGAAGTTATATTGATTAAAACTCTAAGTTTAGAATTTCATTCTTAAAACGAGAAGTTACTGGAGTGACTCAATTTATACTATCCATTACATTTTTAGTGATTGTTAGTTAAATCAACGAACTACATGTGAATCAATCCTTTTATAATTGTATTAAAAAGAAAAAACGAGGAGAAAACGAAGCTAAATACGTGATAGTTAGAATCTTTGTTGTGTCTCTTGTATTAAAGCAAGGCAAGCACTTACCAACATTGACAACCTATGCCAAAAAAAAACGCTACCCAACCTAAACAACAAGTTTGAAGCTCAAAAATAGTTTTCTAAAGCAAGGATTAAAAATAAAACGTCTATCATAAAACTTTTTCTTGGGCTCTACTTTTCAATTCGAGCAAGGTTGGATGTGTAATACTTCTCTACACACGACTCATGCAGACACATGGACCCACCAGGGAGGTCGTATACGTACCTCCTCGACTTGACT